AGAACCTAATTAGAAGATTCTGAAATGAAACTTATATCTGTGAACTGAACTTCATCACACTCTTTCAGGACCGTTGCTGCCACAAACATGAATGAGACATCTTCTCGCTCCCATGCTGTATTCACCATGGTCCTAACACAGCGACGCAATGACAGCACAACCAAACTCACAACAGAACGTGTTTCTAAGGTATGGTATAAAACCTCCATCTTGCTTTCATGATGGACTGCTCATTACTGCTAAGTGTTTGCCAACATGAAGGCATAGTATGCAGGTAAAAATGTAAGTTGAGAGCTTATCTTAATTTCCAAGTTTGCTGTGCACAATCTTAAGGTATACCTTTTTACTTTGGTGTGACATGTATATCACCAACCTTAATCATCACAAAGTTCACACTATGCAATGCACTTTCAGATTTCCCTAGTAGATCTGGCTGGTTCCGAGCGTGCAGATTCCACTGGAGCCAAGGGGACACGCCTCAAAGAGGGCGCCAACATCAACAAATCCCTGACAACACTCGGAAAAGTTATCTCAGCACTTGCAGAAGTCGTAAGTATCACTGGTGTGGGCTGTGGTGTGAACCGGCTCAAACAAGTGAATATAATGATACAATAAGTAGTTTTCCAATTATTGTTTTTTTTTCTGTTTGTTTTCGGAGAGCTCCAATTATGGATTTCTGATTTTGATTTTTCTTTCATAACTGTTTGACATGAAAAGGTCGGTAAGGTACGTGTCCTAAGTAGGAGGATTTAAGAAACCTTTTCTGAACTTATATGTTAACATATTTCTCATGATTTCTTTTATTTTGATTGTAGCAAAGCCCTGTGGCTCATAGTGTGAGTGAATAAAGTGTGCTGCTACTTTTTATGGTTCTTGAAAATGACTGGGTACTGTCTTAGGAACTAAAAGGAGCCTTTTTCCACAGACTTCAAAACCCAACAAGAAGAGGAAAGCAGAATTTATTCCTTACCGTGACTCTGTGCTAACATGGCTGCTGCGAGAGAACCTAGGAGGCAACAGCAAAACAGCTATGGTGGCTGCAATATCCCCAGCTGACATCAATTATGATGAAACCCTTTCAACTCTAAGGTATGTTTGATGAGTGTTTGGATCTCATTAGATTCTTATTACAGTTTATTTTTGTGTTAACTTTATTTTCCTTCTGTCTCTTTTGTGAGTATATAGTTTATTGTAGTTTTGAATATATCCTTTCAGGTATGCAGATCGTGCAAAGGCCATTCGTTGCAATGCTGTTGTCAATGAAGACGCCAATGCCAAGCTAATTAGGGAGTTGAAGGAGGAGATTCAGCGTCTCCGTGAGCTGCTGAAACAAGAAGGCATCGAGGTGCAGGAAGGTGAGCCGTTTCTTCTCTTTGGTCCTTCTTTTATTACTTTCGTCCTTGTCTTCTTCAACAACCAAAATTTGTTCCTGTTTGTAAGGGTTATCAAGTGTATCTTAACAGGCCACTTGTATGGTTGAATCCCTAGACCAAACGTTATAGTTGCCATAATTTGCCACTGGTTAAAGAGTTCCTTCCTAGCCCTAAAGAGCTTGTAGCATAAAGAGAATGTAGGATAATCAACCCTCCCTGTACAATGGCAAAACACACTCTCAGTGCATTAAGAAAATTTACCATGTCATGTTTCATTTATTTTACCCCCTCCGCTCGGCTATTTATAACAATTCCTGCTATAGTGAAAAGAAAAATGTATCAGACCAGATAGAGACAGTGCACAGTTCAGCTGTTGAAGTATTGTATGGGCACCATTATTGCTACCATATATACCTACCACCACTTACGGGTCAGTTAGATAAGCACCAGAGAGTACTTTCAACATTGCTGCTGGAGGGGCTGGGCTAATGAGGGTGCCATTCTCTCCCTAATGCCACAACAGCGGGCACGGAGGGTGAAAAGGTCATCTACAACAATGAAAACCGCCCCGCTGACTTGGGGCCATGTAAGTAACCTGCCCACCCACCACACACCCCGAGTCATGCCCACGCCTCTGAGATCTCCCCTTGCTCAAGCCAGTTTGCTGTTTTCCTTTTTTTTCATTTTCTTTTCTTTAAGTTCTTATTTTTCTTTTGTTTTTAAGTTCCCTCTTGTTTTATTTTCCTTTCTTTACTTTGATATATATATATGTATATATATATATACCCCTTCCTTTCTGGGGCGTCCTTGCATTTGCTCGTGACTGTTTTGCCCAAGGTGCACTATAATTCGGCCAGGGTCAGATGACATGCAATCCTCTACCATGGACTTGCAATGAAAATATTTGATTCAGTTTGAGAGAGAAGAAAAAAATAAACTGTGCTGACAAAAATTATAATTGCAATGATCTCTCAGGGTATACAAAAATATATCCTTAAAAGAAATGACATTGACCTAATTTTAATGTGAGATATCAGATCCAAAAAATCTGAAATTAAGAAACGATTTAGAAAGAGAATTGACTGGGTGGTGCACTTTGTGGTCTTTGCCAGCTTTTATGTAGATTT